AGTAGCAGCAGCAGCAACCCAGACTGACAGCAGCTCATTGGATAATTTGTATCACATGCAGCCTGGTGCTGGACGCTCCGGAGGGCTTTACCGTATTAACAGGAGAAGCAGCGCAAGTCAAGTTAGACACTGTAATTTATAAATGTTTTAAATCAGGGTGGGTTCAGATTAGCCAGTAGATGGATCCGGATCCAGACTACGATCCGCTAATCCGTGACCTCTGCTCTAAAGGCTTGGTCCTTTATTTGTTCTTTTCAAGAACGGTCTTTCCTTTTTCATTACAAGTCATACATCAAGTAAATTAATAGATTTTGAAAATACTCTAAAACTATTTTGAGGAATATCAAATTATCCTTTAGTGTAATGGTTCACAGACTCTAAAACTTAATTTGCTGAAAGAACATCCTAATTACATCAACAATAAGCAAACTAAATTTCCAAACGTATGTACTGCAAGCATTTATTTTAAGATGAATCGACAAAATCATCAATAGATGGATCAATCAAAGGATTTACTAAAGTAAATGTACTCATTTGAACGGAGTAACTACTATTTCCTGTCAGTGTATTTTGGGCAATAACTTCAGAAACAATCGCTGATAAGAGGGAAACATTTTGCTGTTCTTCAGGAATCCCCTTCAGGGTTAATGTATGGTCACCATGTCCTGCAGAGTGAGGGCAGCCAGCACACCAAACCAGTCACTGCACGTTTCCCAGCAAACATCTCCTCCACAAACAAACAGCTTATCTGGTTTACAAACGTCTCATGGTTTCAGACGGTCCTGTTGTAATGAGCCTCTTGCAGAAGCAGAGGGATATAATTATTACATTTCAGATGCTTTGAAACAGTGGTTACTGGAAGGAGACCTGCTACAGCAATACGTTTAGCTCTATTCCAGCATGGTGAGCAGTGATTTAAGCTATCGGTCTCTGTGTGACGACATACTGCCAAAAATATTCGCTCACCTGCCTTGACTTGCATATGAGCTTGAGGCAGGGTTGGTTCACCCTTTGTAGCAAGAACAGCTTCAGCTCTTCTGGGAAGCCTGTCTACAAGGTTTAAGAGTTTGTTTGTGGGAAATATTGGACCATTTGTCCAGGCGTTAACTGCTGCCAGAGGAGAAGGTCTCTGCTAAAATGACAGCGTGGAACTAAAATTATCTTTATTATCCAGTTTAGCTTTCATAAATATATGTTCTGTCAAAGCCCGTCAACAATCGCATCAAAATAAGGCATTTTTAGAGGCACCCAATGGAGTATGTTGCCATCTTTGATAACCGTAGCCCAAAGGTGACAAACTTGTCAGCCTTTGATATTTAAAATGTGCAGTAGCAGCCATTCAAAATGGCCCTGAAGGTCTGGTTATCCTCTCGCAGCAGTGTGTTGCAGTGAGCTTGTCACAGATATTTTTGACTTATGCCCAATATTGAAGCGCTGTGTTATTCCACGCCACAACGCAAGAGGGACAATCAGGAACTAGGTGTGGGTCTAGATTCGGCCGAGGCGTTGTCGAAGTGGGGGGCAAGTTTGTGCGACAACGGAGGGACATGAGGGCCAAAAAGAGTGGGGATCCAGGTGGAAAAAGGGTCACAGCGTTCTCACGCATCTCGCTTTTCCACAATGGCAGTCATACAAACAAAACAAGTCGGTAAGGTACCAACAGGAAATACGCATAGTGTAGATTGGATGTAGATTTGACCAATCGCAGGCCTCCCGTTTGCGGTCACGTACGGTTTTGGAGAGGTGCAGCAGAGTGTCCAGAGGTGCGCCAGAGTGGAAGGGTGGGGGCACATTTGCGTTCCCTGCGAGACAACCTCATTTCTGCGAATAAATCAGCCTTTCCCAGTCAAACGCCAACCAAATGGCAGCCAACTTCCAGCCACTGGAGTGACCCCTTCTTGCATAGTTATTAACTCTAACTCCACCCTTTCACTGAATTACAGGGTGTGACCAGGAGATGGCGCTTTTCTTTAGATCTTAATGTCCACAAATCATGACAGAAAGAATATGTTAGTACAAAGATTTAGGTTTAAAAAGGAATTTACCAGCCACGGAACAGCCAAGGGCCCATCAAGGAAAGTGGGGAAATTTTGAATGGAAGCTACGCTATATGAAGAAGTGTCATCGGTGGAGGATTAAAAGACGGCTGCAGATCATTCTACATGCAGTCTACTGTTTAAATGGAGGAACAGGCCACGTACTCTTGCACAGTGAGAAGGAAGTGGAGAGTAACTCAGAAAAGGAGCTATAACTACGCGGAGACAAATGATGAGGGGGCGGGCCTTCAAAACAGACGTAGAGATTTCAGGGCAGCATTCCAGCAACTAGTCTTGCCCCCCCCAGCACAGACGGTTAGTTTTTCCTAACGAGGTCGGTGGCAACATCCATCAGTTTCAGTTATTCCTCACAGAAGTTATACCAGCAGGCGACAGTTCATCCAACAGGTGTTGACATCGTCACTTTTATGACCCCACAGCTTCAGTAGAAGTTATTACCAGCGTGGCACCAGAGCACACTTCGCAGCCGTTGTAATTCATGCAGTGCACCACAAGATGGCAGTAAATGTTACACACTGAGGCTTTAGGCTAAAATCTGAGCTCATCCACACCAAACTCTTCTCTCCATGAATCCTACTTTGTTTTCTGGTGAACTCGCTGTTCCTGAGTGGATCTAACAGCACAGACAGTTGAATATTAACAGTTAAGAGCTTTTATGACTGGACTCATTGTTGCTCATGTTGCATCCAATTATTGAGCCAAACAGAATTCCTGTGGTGAAGCAACCTTAACAACCAATTTCATTTATTTGGATGGATGACGGGATGCTCAAAGTGGATTTAATAGGAGGGAATCCCAACAATTGTTTAAATTCTGGAAAATTTCATAACATTTATTTCCCAGGTCCCTCACTAAATAAAAACATTACAAATGTTGGAGCTTAATTAGTGTTCGATTGCTTCGAAAACGCTCAGTGCCATCAACGTCATCTTTGGCTCCCAAAGTTAGGGCTCAGGATAGTTCACTCCAAAAAACATTTCCAGTCAGAAGATTAAAGCTATAGTGGAGGATGTTCTTTTTCCGGGTGGATCATCAAAATAAGTGCTACACCTAATTGTCTATCATTCTGGTGATATGTTTACGTAAGGCCGTCCTATGTTCACTTATGGATTTTAAGTTTCACATAGTGGAAAAATTGCAGATATTTTGAAAAGTAAGCTAGTATGAGTGATGCAAACAGCAACTTTTAAACAAACATGCACGGAAATGGGATCATGCATGCTCTTGCACATGTTTAACCGGTGTTCCCTCTCAGGAGCAGGTACAGGGTTGTGCATGTACATTTTTTTGCAAGTGGTCTTTTCACAAATTTTGCAAAAATCCTCCACTATACCTTTAATACTTAAATTTATCAGTTGCATGAAGAAACTGTAGCCATGAATTAAACAAAAAGCGACATACCTATCCAAACCCTTGACGATAAAATTTTTGCCCGAGTGCTGCGTCTCCAGTTTCTTCATCACATTGTAAAGATCTCGGTTTAGCTGGAAGAAGAACAGGGTCGTTACAAAAGAACCTGCCAGAACTTTCCATGTTTAACAGAAGAACAGTTTTGCAGGATTTCTTACCACGCTCATTTCTTTATAAAAGACATCTCGCAGGTTTGAGATGTTTTGGAACACAGTCACGTAACAACCGATCCGACTGCAGAGAAAGAAATCAGCTTAAATTCCCTTCCATCCATGAAACACCTCATCTGTCTTCTCAACTTTGGTCACATGAATTCCACCTAATCTGAGTCTGGTTTGAGTCTCTGCTGCTGATACCTCTGATAGAGAACAGGCAACTCCTCCCGCAGCTCATTATTTATCTCTTCAAAGACATTCTGGGCTTTGTTGAACTCCTCCTCAGCCTGACAAACGGGATTAGAAAGATGGTTACGGAAATAAAACCTGAAACCACAGCTGTCAGCAGACGGAGTTTCTCCACCTTTGTGATTTTGGCTTCATCCTTTTTCTTTGCGCTCTGCAGAGCTTCCAGGTGGTGACGGGCCGAGTCGTAGTCCACCAGTTTTCGCCCCCGCTTTGCGACTCGTTCCTTAAAGAAACAACAACAGAAGANAGTGCACCACAAGATGGCAGTAAATGTTACACACTGAGGCTTTAGGCTAAAATCTGAGCTCATCCACACCAAACTCTTCTCTCCATGAATCCTACTTTGTTTTCTGGTGAACTCGCTGTTCCTGAGTGGATCTAACAGCACAGACAGTTGAATATTAACAGTTAAGAGCTTTTATGACTGGACTCATTGTTGCTCATGTTGCATCCAATTATTGAGCCAAACAGAATTCCTGTGGTGAAGCAACCTTAACAACCAATTTCATTTATTTGGATGGATGACGGGATGCTCAAAGTGGATTTAATAGGAGGGAATCCCAACAATTGTTTAAATTCTGGAAAATTTCATAACATTTATTTCCCAGGTCCCTCACTAAATAAAAACATTACAAATGTTGGAGCTTAATTAGTGTTCGATTGCTTCGAAAACGCTCAGTGCCATCAACGTCATCTTTGGCTCCCAAAGTTAGGGCTCAGGATAGTTCACTCCAAAAAACATTTCCAGTCAGAAGATTAAAGCTATAGTGGAGGATGTTCTTTTTCCGGGTGGATCATCAAAATAAGTGCTACACCTAATTGTCTATCATTCTGGTGATATGTTTACGTAAGGCCGTCCTATGTTCACTTATGGATTTTAAGTTTCACATAGTGGAAAAATTGCAGATATTTTGAAAAGTAAGCTAGTATGAGTGATGCAAACAGCAACTTTTAAACAAACATGCACGGAAATGGGATCATGCATGCTCTTGCACATGTTTAACCGGTGTTCCCTCTCAGGAGCAGGTACAGGGTTGTGCATGTACATTTTTTTGCAAGTGGTCTTTTCACAAATTTTGCAAAAATCCTCCACTATACCTTTAATACTTAAATTTATCAGTTGCATGAAGAAACTGTAGCCATGAATTAAACAAAAAGCGACATACCTATCCAAACCCTTGACGATAAAATTTTTGCCCGAGTGCTGCGTCTCCAGTTTCTTCATCACATTGTAAAGATCTCGGTTTAGCTGGAAGAAGAACAGGGTCGTTACAAAAGAACCTGCCAGAACTTTCCATGTTTAACAGAAGAACAGTTTTGCAGGATTTCTTACCACGCTCATTTCTTTATAAAAGACATCTCGCAGGTTTGAGATGTTTTGGAACACAGTCACGTAACAACCGATCCGACTGCAGAGAAAGAAATCAGCTTAAATTCCCTTCCATCCATGAAACACCTCATCTGTCTTCTCAACTTTGGTCACATGAATTCCACCTAATCTGAGTCTGGTTTGAGTCTCTGCTGCTGATACCTCTGATAGAGAACAGGCAACTCCTCCCGCAGCTCATTATTTATCTCTTCAAAGACATTCTGGGCTTTGTTGAACTCCTCCTCAGCCTGACAAACGGGATTAGAAAGATGGTTACGGAAATAAAACCTGAAACCACAGCTGTCAGCAGACGGAGTTTCTCCACCTTTGTGATTTTGGCTTCATCCTTTTTCTTTGCGCTCTGCAGAGCTTCCAGGTGGTGACGGGCCGAGTCGTAGTCCACCAGTTTTCGCCCCCGCTTTGCGACTCGTTCCTTAAAGAAACAACAACAGAAGAGTTAAAAGAAAAAAAATTGCTTAAACAGGAATACAGTATTTGGAAGCAGAGAGAAGCAAGCCGAACATCAAAGATCACAATCCAATGTTCCATCTGTGGGTTATAAATAAATAAATACATTTTTTTATATAAAAAATTCCAGCTGTTAAAAACTCTGAAGTTTATTCTTGCGTTCACTTATGCTATGTTCACACCTAAAGCAGCAGAAGCAGTTAGTTTACATGCAGGGTCAATGGTTGACGCGCATCAAAAGGGCTTGCAGCACGTTTGGAGCAGCGCTTCATAAGATTCTGAGCATCTGATGCGAAACGCTTTAGAAGCAGCAGCTGCTAGAGTTGGAAAAAATTAAACTTTTGCTGCTCGACGTGTCACATCAACCAATCAGAGAAGCTGATCTGGGAGCTGACAGGAAGACAAACACAGCGCTGCTGATGCAGAGCGCTATGATCACTCCTCTGAAACAGTATATTAATGCCAAAAATAACTAAAATGTCGAAACATGCCGGTAAAATAGGTTTGCTTTTATTATCCTCGTGCCTGTAGTTTGGATTATGTACGTGAAACCCCTTCCAGCTGCCGTGAACAGTAGCAGCAAACCACGAAGAGGCGACCGGGCCAGAGGCTGCTATTGAACAGGATTCCCACTGAAAGAACACCGCCGGTGTACGGGGGTCTGAGCGGCTCCCACAGAAACAATATTTGAAGGCAGGATGGTAATCTGGACGAACTGACTGCACTGAGGAAGTTTTCAGGATTTTCTCACTTGAAAACATTGAAGCTACTTTTTACCCACTGATCACACTGCCATAGAAGGATAGGTTAGCTCCGTCCAACGCACATCAGTCCCACTTTTCAACCGAGCAGCTGGAGCAGCAAAGATGCTTCAGTCGTGCGTCAGAACTAAACTTGTACAAGCAGCAAAAATTGAAGCACTCTTCAGTTTAAGGTCTAACCCTGCTTTGTCAGCATCCATGTTATGAAAGCCCTCCTCGTTGCAAAACCTCCACAACTTTTGCAGGTACATTTTCATTTCTAAAATAAAATCCATCCACCGAGTCTTCAGCAGCTCAGATAAAGGCAGTAAAAGAGACTTGTTTGGTAGATGCAGCTGCTTTGTGTGCTTGGTGTCGATGAGCAGAAAGATGGTGCCTGCTAGAGGCAGGCTCAGCAGTATTGCTAACTCCTCAGCAAGAAAAGTCACTTTTGGCTCTCCTAAAAGACAGCTCCACCTAATTAGCATTTTTTTTATGTCAACAAGCTGCAGGAGATTCTGAATCTCATCGATTGCTCTTTAT